ATACAAAAAGTTTTTAGATTTATTTATTTATATTTATGATGTCAATTTCCTGGATTCGAGGAAATTCTTTTTTGTCGAATCGCGAGATTTTAAGAACTCTAGAAAGCTGGAAAATTTTGTGTCCATGTAACGCCTTGGATTAGTTTCACTAATGAGTTTGGGACATGGTTGCACGGTGCTTTCGAATGGAAGACTGTGTAGAGAAGCCACTGAAATCCTATAATTCATCGAATTCACCAGTACTCTATGCAATACACTCTTATACCTCCCATTGCTGAATATCTGGTCAAAACATACAAAAAGATAATGTTAAGAGTCGCATCATGACTTTTTTTTAAATATTAAACCATAAAAAATTAAACTGTACTATACATTGTCTTGATTTATCAGGATCCAATAGTGTGCAATAGCCCCGTTGTGTTTTGGGGTTAGGGGTTCCTCGTACAAATTTTTTGACTCAAAAGTATGTACTAGGTGACTTTAATTTGCATTATATTAAAACTTTTAATAGGGATGTTAATTAATTAACATTCTCAGTAGTTGAATAAACGTGACGAATACAGATATGAATTCATGTATATGTACCTCAAGATGATCTCCAACATTGACAACAAAGGATCCAGGAATGGGTTCAACAGTAACCCAGTTTTCTTGATGTTGTATTTGCAATCCCTTGACTTCATCTTGGAGGAGAAGAGTGAGGAATCCATAGTCAGAATGAGGTGGCATTCCCAGTGTCAAATCAGGTTGTGGACAAGGAGGGTAACAATTCAATATCATTAGCTGGCTTCCATCTTCAAATTCTTTTAATATCTCTTCCTCTTTTTCTTTGTCTTCGTCCTCGTCCTTGTCATCATCTTTTTGTGTCACATTCCTCTTGTTCATTAGTCCAAGACTTTCTAAGATGGCATCCACTAGCATTAGGAACAAGAATTTCACTTCTTTAGCATAACTAACAGCCAATGTCCTGTTTACATATAGAAACAATTAAATTAACCAATCAAAACTTGTTTAGAACAGATGTATATATCATGCAAAAGTACAATAATTTAGAAAATTAATTACCATCAATTTAAACTCAACTACTCTCTTTGTTACATATTATTACAACCTAGAAAAGTAAAAGCAACATCGAATAAACACAAATGTACAGTGATTCAGCATTGATGTGAGACCAAACTTCATTTTATAAGTTTTTACTATAAAAAAAAATAATAATAATAAGAGAATGGCCTCTTAAAATTCTTGGTATTCATGTATCTATTTCATGTTCTGTCAGTGAGCATATAATGCTTGCTAGCGCTTTTATTAAATTATAAGTTGTGAGTTTTACGAAACGTATGGATAATAAGTGTGTAAAGATTTGCAAAAGTTTTGGATCCTGGGTAAAAAAGAGTTTGACCAGCTTATAAGCTGGTATTATAAGCTTTGCCAAACAAGTATAATGATGTCTTACATATCTTTTTCGTTTTTCAGGTAAATAATTTATTGCCACTCTTACCTAAAATCATTTGGAGAAGAAGGACAATGGGGAAGGACATCTGGTAGAGGCTGACAAACCAATTTGAGAAAATCCCTCCAACAGAAGACACCATCAGTTCTCTGATTATAGCTTGTTCCATACCGAACAGGTGAGTTTATATCTGCTGACATGTACTTCTCCCTTTCTGAATATGGCATCTCAAAGAACCTTTTACTCACACCTACCACATTGTTTATAATCTCGTACGGAATACCATGATTGACCAGCTGCATTGATCCAACATTAACAAACTTTATGTCAATTCCTAAACTCATTCCATAAATACAGTATGAAAGAAGTTCCTTTTGGCATTGATGGATTATGACATATTGCTCGTCTTTCTATGACATGTTTGACGAGGGGTTGAACAGTATCAGACAGTATTTAAAGAAATAAGTTAGAATCTTATTTATCATAGTCCTTTATGCCAAACAAGTCTCTTCGAAGGTCTTAAATTCTAGTTCAATAACCCACCTGGAAAAATCCATAGTTTTCGCAGGCAGAGGCAAGAGAATTAAGGACTTGAGATCGATTAGGACCCTGCAATCCGGCAAAATCAATGATTGGCAGCTTAAGATTGGCGTTGTCTACGTCGCCAGTTGATTTTTCGTGGACAACATTGGGACGTTCCGAAGCTGGCAATATGTACTTCCTAGGAACATGCTCAATTCCATTGTCGAACAGATGTTTCACTCCTTTCTTGTATTGGGTTTCCAGGGAATCAAAATCATCTTTTCTACTTTCCTCTGACATTACCATTCCTGGAGACATTGACAGAACAAGTATTCCCTGTAACAGATACAGAAATTAAATATTACATGCTGCACTAATAACAATAAGACTCAACTGTATAATGAACAAGATTTTAGTATTACTGACTCACCTAGCTAACTCTTAGGTGTAAATTGAGAGGGAAATGAGATTATGGGAATTAAGAAAATGAATGGAGATGTATTTATAGAGGGAATAAAGAGATTACAACAGTATCTAGTTTTCTGAAACTGGTTAGGAATATGTAGATTACAAGTACTGGTTTCCATGCATTGAAAAATTCTTTAAGACCAATAAGTTTTTGTAGGGACAATAGACGCCCTCCATAGACGATTACTAACAAATTCAACTGACATAATTTTTACAGTCCTCTTTCCTAGGACCTAGCCTCACCCCATCCCACCCCACCATAGGTGGCTGACCATTTTTATTTTATTTTATATATATAATATATTTCCGCTAGACATCTCTGGTATTCAAATCTTTAAAACAGTTGACTGATTCGAGACCGTAGTGTGTAAAATACTTCAAGTCTATAGACCCCGAAACTCATGTGAACAGTTTCATAGAGAGNTTTTACTCATAAGTTATTTTTTATTTGGACACAATTTTTTTTACTTATAAGTGAATTTTCCACACATAGATTTTTTTTTTTTTTTAACTTACAAATAATTTTTTGACATTCACATGAGGTTTTTCATTTAAAAATGAAATTTTCACTTCTAAGTAATTTTTTAAATTATATTTATAATTTGTTTTTACTCATAAGTGAAATCCTTAACTCTTATTTAGTTGGAAATAGGCCTACCAAGCGTAGTTATCCCTTAGAGTTGAAAATAAAAACTTGAACGAAAACTTAAAAAATCGAAAGTTAATCAAAATGGTTTTTATTATTTTGAAAATTACATTTATGAGGCCATGTTGATGTCACGTGCCACGTGGAAGTTAAAGTCGAGTCTTTGTCTAAAGTTCGGTGATGGCAATGTAGGAACCGTGTTTCTGCTGTAGATCTTTGATTCATTATATATCTTCAACTTTGCTACAGTCATAATTAAAGACTACTTATAGTCTACACACGCATTTCTTGACTAATTAATTACAATTTTTTATCAGACACTTAATGAATCAACATTGGACCGATTTCGTTTAAAAGTTCTTCTAATTAGGAAAAAAAAAACTTTCAAAAGATTAGTCAAGTAAGTTTAAAAGCAACTTTTGGATATCAAAAAATACTTATTTTGACTTCTTAAAAGTTATACCAAACGAACCCATTAACATTTCACACTCATCTTTTTTTGACCATATTGTGTTGTGTCCTTTTAATATTAAGCCCGTATTTGGTAGGGATTAAAATATAGATATTAATTTAAGTCAAAGTTAACAATTAATTTTAATAACATCTTTAATGGAATCCATAATTTTTCACTCATACATTTTATTTTAAAAAAATGTATATATAATAAAAGCTAAAAATCATATTTTAATTCCCTGACCAAACAAGGACTAAGTATTTATTTGAAAAAGTTTAAAATATTACTGTCAAAATCAATATTATTTTATTAACGCATTTTTTGAAATCCACAACTTTCATCAACTTTTCGACTCATGAATTCATCAACTTTTATCAAAAGATATCTCAAACAACCCCTAATTTTCTTAATGCAGTATCGTCAAAGGCTCAAAACGATTACAATATAAAGCAACAACTCAAGTTTTTACCCATTTTGTCAATTTGAAATTTACAACACATAAAATTCAGAAACACAAATTGACCTGAAACATTAAGCAGATTTCATATCTATATTAATTTTTATTGTTTTGACTTCATGAAATAAATAATATAACATTTTTGGTATGGGAACAATTGCTTGTGTGTGTTTATTAATGTGATCACGTCAAACCAACCGACCAGCCAATGAGTGAACTCGCATTACACGTAGTAATAGTTTTATATGTCATCAATATTTTTCTTTCTTGTTGTCCATGTTTGGTTCATCTACAAAATAAAATTTAAATTTAATTCAAAAATTGATAATTTATTCTATCAATTTTTATCAAAATATACTAAGTGCATAAATATATCAAGTTTTTCAAGAAAAAAAGTAAATCTTATCTGCAAGGAGACGTCGGAGGCATTATTTAAATTAATTGATTTAACATATTTCGAATTTATTTATTGAACTCAAGGATTCATTTTGTCAAAAATTGTAAACCATGGATTTAAACTGATATATGCTTTCCATTTCAAGAACATTTTCCTTAATTTGCTGCAAATTAAAACAAGAATCTATGCTGGTCCATGCATTATAGCTGTTGACCTATAACTTTTAAAATCATTTTAGAAAACTAAATTTTTTTTTATCAAAATTCTTAACTACAATTTTTTGGGCACTCATATAATAATAATAATAATAATAATAATAATAATCCAAAAGTCTACGAACTAGACCCCCATAGATTTTAAATCAAGAAAACCTAGTTCTATATTGAATTAATTAATGAATCCCAACTAATAACCAAACACCAAATTAATAAATCATTTCCAAAAATGGTGTCAATTCCTTGAACCTGCGCGATCTTTTAATTAATTTTCAATTTCAGGCATGAGATACCTAATTTTTAATTTTTTATATATGCCCTTTTGAGCCTTAGATCACTATGACTTAATATTTATATTTCTTGGAGCCAGCAATGACCCGTAAATTATTAATTTGTAATTCCAGAAAAAGTCAAAATTCATTAAAAAAAAATGTTGTTTGATAAAAAAGGTTGAACCACAACCTTGAGGGCCCTCACCGCCCCGCCCCTGGAGTATCTTGAGAAAGGTAATTCGCTAGATGTGTCACAACACACCAAAGAACAAGAGCTTGTCCGTACACTGGTGTTCACAAAGAGTTCAATTCCATATCTTAGGAATCGAACCCTTACATTGCGACTTCCAGAAAGATTGAGACTACCTCACTCTTATCCTTTGCACAATCGAGTTACGTCCTGGGGAGCTAAATAAAAAAAAAAAATGGTTGTTTGATATATCTATGATGTGTTGTTAGGGTGGTGCCAAGCTGGGGCATAGGTGTTTTATTTTTGTCCTTTGTTCCTCATTCGTTGCACGGGTTAAGGACCATGTCAGCATCCCTATATATTAATATATTTTTTAGATGTAATCTGAATTATATTTTGTTTTCCGCAATTTCTACTAATGTTTCTATAATAATTCATACATAATAAAGAAGATCAATTGCATAATATTAATAGTTAAAAAAAAAAGGAAATTAATCAATGAAGAATCTTGTTATTTTACAATTTTTTTTCTTTTTTGAAAATAGGGTTCACAGAGTAATTTTTTTTTTCTTTTTTGAAAATAGAGTTCACAGGATAATTTTAAAAAGTCTTTTCATATCTTAATGCCGTGAGATCCACGGCAACTGCACCATTGACAAGAGAACTAACAGTACACAGAAGATAAACGGCTGCCTTTTTTTCAAATTTTAATATTTAGAATAGTATTTTTTTAAAAGTGTGTGGTTGAAAAGGAAGGAAGAATTTTGATTTACGTGTGATATTATTTTATGAAAAATTGTGTGATTGAAAATAAGAGAGAAAAAAAAATTTAAAGAAAAAGAAGGTCAAATGGCTATTTAATTTCACGTGAATCTTCTCATTATTTTTGCATCCATTATGTAAGTGAATAAATGACAATTTCTTTGTATCTATTCATTGTTCGTTGTTACATGTCACATGTTCTTAATTGATATTTGCTGCTAAGGAATGTGACAAAACGAAACATCTCATCTCATAATTGGATGCTGCTTAAGTTGACCAAAACAACAATAGTACGTACATCTTAATTTCATAGCATGTTAGCTCTAGTTTGATTTTTATTTTTTTGATAATCTTTTTTCTTTCAAACTCACCAAATATTTTTTTAAAAATATTTTCACATTCCCCAAAAACTTTTCCTTCTTTTTAATTTCATATATACCAAAAAAAAAAAAGAAAAAAAAAGGACATTTTTGAAATAATCTCTTCTCAACGAATGAAGAGCTATAAGCGAAAATTGGCTTAAAAGAACAAGAATTATTAGGATCGAAGTGGCGGGTCGAAGTCGAATTGCAGTATGCCTTTTATACTTTTTTGTTTAATAATGTCAGCAAATAGAAGTCGATTTAGCTTTTAGACCAAACAATTGTCTTAAAGCTTAAGCCCTTGTTTGTTAAGTATTAAAATCTAGATTTTAGTCTAAATTAACGTCAATAAATTGATAATAGTGGAAGCATTTATACAGGTCGGCTCATGGTAGACATCATTGGAAAATATTATCATGACATGACTAAAAAGGTTACCCAAAATGTATGCCTATGGCTTAGGCATCACAAATGCCTTGATATCAGTAGAAGCATTTATTTTCGAATCATGTTACAAGTATAGAAAATTTTAATAGACAACACATGGCAGAAATTGATTGAAAGGTGGAAAGAGAATAAAGAAATCAATCTAATCATCTGCGACCACACCAACATAGGTAGAAATTCTGTTAAGAATTCCCTGTACTCATGGCTTTTTACTTTATTTTGCTTCAGCATTTGGACATTATAATGCGGAATAGGCATGCCACAATGTAAATGACAATCCGAAATTTCAATACTAACAGCAGCAAAAACAACAAAGTCCTTATACAAGGTTGAAATTTATATTGTTTGTTTTGAGCCGCTTAAGAAACGAGCCTTGGAGGGACGACCCAAATAAGGAAAGAACAACGCATATACATAGGTTGGTTATAAGCCCAAAAAGCTAAGCCATTTCAGTTTAAATAATTTTTAATCCAAGGAAATAACAAACAATTGGATTGTAATACAATGGTCATCTGCTTGATTTTCAAATATTACAATCTAAGATTGAGTCACCGTGTAAATATTTCTATAAAAAATATTATAAGAGTTATTTTTGGAGTTAAAATTTTTCGAATCCTCACTTTCATACTCAAATTAACAAGAATTATGATTACCATAACTCTCTCATTTAATTTTTCATTAAAATTGGAGATTACTAGAAAAGGAATGACACTTTTTTTTTTTTTTTTTTTTTAATCTCATCTCTCAAATTAGAATTTCATTTTCATTATTCTCAAATTGTGTTAGCTTTAGCGTATTTGCAACAAGGATTTTGTTACTACAAGTTTAATTATTCAAGGCAAAGGATTTTTCATTTTCATATCGAAAA